AGCGATTGGACTGCCTGAAGGGGACTATAATTGGGCCCGCGTTGCAATCGGGTTAGTTTCAGCGTCTTGAAAGCCAGGATTACACAGTTGCAGCTACGTTGATTTATGCAACGTGCTGGTCCTCGTCAGAAAAGAAATGAACTTGCGATGACTCCTAACCCTATATAGACTTCCGATTGTTTCAACGCCGTTTGAAGCATTTTGGTGCGGTTTTTTGAATCAGAAACTTCAAAATAAGTGGATGTAATGGTGTGGGCATTGTTCGAGTTACGGTGGTATTTTTGTACATAAAACTTTAAGCCTTTTAACCCGTGACGTACGTAGCACTGATCTGGTCCGCACGTGACACGACCAGCGCTCACCATTTGTGCACGCCACATGCGTTCCGCGTGTCCATGGTCATGCAGCATCTGGGACATTTCCTTTGAGCGTTTGCAGGTGCGTATATTGTAGTGGTTTGCAGCTCTGTTCTTTTTTCTGACGTTTCCCGTGAAGATTTGTTTTTCTGTTTCATACACCCACAAAAAATTTGCAAATTGAAGGTAACAATTTCGTTTGATAAAAAGGTAGGAGAGATTAACTCCGACGTTTAGAACAATGTTCTGCTTGCTTCCTATGTACCAAAAAGAACCATGTTTCGGGCACATGATCCACGGGGTTGCGCGCAATGCCATTTGTTATTAGGCGATCTCTTTTCCGGTACCCGGGTACCCGATGTTAACAAAAAACGGGTACCTGGTTCTAAAAATACCCGCAAATGCACACCCCTACTTTAGTTAACTAAATTAGTTATAAAACTGCTAAAAACCATTTCATTAAAACCACCGAGAGACCGCCAACATAATAATGTACCGCTCAGGTTGTAAACGTCTGGTGTGCTAAACCTTGACTTTAATAAGTTTTGTTTCCTTTCATGATAGAATTTGTGATAAAACTGTGAGTTTTGTGATTACCCTGTGCAGGTCTGGAGCATTGCTAATATTGTCTGCATCAAGAAAAAGAGAGTGATCCATGGCCACTGGTTAATGGCTCTCTTTCTGGTCATTGAGACTGATTTAAAGGAACATGATCAATATCCCTAGACCCGTCTATCCAACACATGGTAACAGCGAGACTTTCAGGTGTAGCCTAAAACGCATTTTCTTGCAACCCAAAAAGAGCGCTAAAACGAAGAGCGACAGAGATGGCTTACATGGAAAAAAGGCTTCAAATTCAGAAGGTCTGTGGTTCTAATCTTGTACTTGCACGTAAAAAATTGTTTTGTATTTGGAAAAGGTCTGGTTTGAAAGATTATCCCTTGATAAATTTGTATCGTTTTTTGTTCAAGGAAACATCCGCTTACGTCATTGTATGTTATTGCCGTTGGTAGACTTCGTCTCTTTATAGCATATTAGCCTACATATTTACACCATACTATAGTAAACTTTCAGCGCAAACGAAGCTTGGATTGGGTAGTAGAAGTCTCATTTTACGGGTAGTGGATGGCAATAAAAAGCTTCGTTTCTTATGACATATGTAGTTTTCTTTCATACAGTACTTCTTCCAGCCGGTACATTGACCTGTAATACTCAAATCAAGTTTGCCCATACTATTGACACTTTCTCTCAAAGGATCACTAAATAAAGTCCCTACCAAACACAATTATTTTGTGCAAATCTTCGTACTTTTGCATTGCTTACAAATTTAACAGCCTGTTTTGGTTAAAACAGTGCACTTTTCCTCCTATTGTAATTTCCACGTGCATGCCTGACACTCGAGGCTAGTAGGGTTTTACTTTAAGACATATCATTTATGATATGACTACAATTGAGCCAAAGTTACAACCAGCACAAATTCTCTAATTGCTGACCGTCAGGTGTCAAATTAATAGAGGATCGCACCAAAAATGGATAACTGATTGGCACGACGTTTCTGTATCAGGTAATCGCAACACGAAATGCCTAGTTTGCTGAGCATTTCATCACATAAAAAATGGATCTGATAAGCAGTAAAACACGCTGTGTGATCAGTATTAAATTTTACTAAAGCATCTTGAGGGATCTGTCATTAGTGGCTGGTTGTGAGAAGAAACGAATCACTCTAAGTTGTAAACAGTGAGCTCGGTTTGCCTTTAAACATGAATTTGGGACAAGCAGAGCTTACTTTTGGAAATGCATTAACGGATTCCCCCCCCCCAAAGGACACTTTCAAGGAGGATAGCTGGATTGAGCACGAATTTCCATGTAACATGCAAACCTTTATGCTCTACCCTCGAAACAGTCCTTTGAAGACAGAAATCAAGGCAAATAGGTGCATTTGCCAAAATATTCCATGAACACTTAACGGTATTCGCATTTTAATGAGAAAACCTCTCAGAAAAATCGAGCCCTGACCAACAACTTTATCCCTTTCCTCGAGTCTCCTGTAAGTGGATCGAGTTAATAAATACTTGCCAAAATCATACATGCATAGATGCGGTTCCCTACTCGGCTTTGAATGGACATCTGTTAATTGAGAACCCGAATACAACTAAAAACCCTCAACTCTTTTCCTGGGATATCCTATGCACTTACATGTATACCCTAGAGACAGCAATGGCAAACTGTTTACGGCTGATACACTTAAATTGGGTATATGGAAAGTAATACCCCTTGAATATGGACACGTCGCCACGTGCATTTCAAAGTGACAAAACAAGGGTTTCCGCCCTGTCTGCTTGATAAACTGGCAACTTTTCACTTGGGACATGTCTGGCAGAGATTTAGTGGTTTCCGAAGGATAGTTCTTTATAATCGCAACAGACGTAGAGATTGCACAAAGGCATTCCAGATGGGGCACTGAAATGTCAGAGACGTTCAAATCACGTCTGCGTCGGGCAAGCGATACAATCCTTCATTACTTTAAAAGCAGCGTCCATAATTATACAGCAAATAACGTGTTCTTCTGAACACGGTGCCAATTTCTTATCTAGTATTGCAACATTAATGAAACGTATTTCCTGTCCATTATCATGCCTTTGAAAGTCAAAGAAATTACTGCATGTACTTGGTGCACGCGCAGATGGTACTGCAAATTGGAAATCTCCTTTACTTTTTCGATCATAGAGTTCGTCATTAGGGTTATCGGCGATATCTCCAGATTAGTCTCTTTGCACACCGTTTTCATAAAGAAACGAATCACCTCTATTTTGCAAAAAGGTTGACATTATCCATGTTGCTGTTTTGGTCCCACCTGCGACGCTTCCAGTGTCTCTGTCTCTCACGTCGGAATTTACGCAGAGCATGCTTCACAAATTAAGGAATTAAGGTTGAAGAGACTTTGTATGATCAGCTCATACACCCACAAGTCCCACGCCGGGCTCTTGAAGTGAGATATACTAATAGTAAAAGTACAATTCGCCCTCAAAGAAACAATTTAGCTAGTCGCTCAGATGGATGTCTACTAATTGGCCAACAAATAAGCGAATATTTAAATTCACATGACGTTATTTTTTTCCGCCACTTTTTCACAGCGCTAAAGTAAAGTCATTCAGTCTCGGCTCAAGCAATAAGCTACATGAAATTCTACAAAAGCATTCTTACGATAATAATTGCTATCCCTGTTGATCCTAGGCTTGGGTGATAGGTTTGACTCGACTGACTTGTGATTACTTATTATAGGGCGAAAGCCTGAATTTAATGTTATACCAAGCCCAACCGTTCGCAATATACGCTTTCAAAATTTTTTGACTGTACCCAGACACTGTACTTTCGTAGCAAGCTTTCCCCTTCCGGCACTCCAACAAACTCGACGTTATTTCGATGGTGTTCCAATAATAAAATTCATCAACAGGCTCCGCATTAAAGAGAGTCGCAACTCGATCCGACAGGAAATCACTAAATATTCACGACTTTCGAAATGAATCATTCAGACGATGTAATCTGGTCCGAAAAACCGCTCAGGCGTTACCGGCTGGCTTCACCTGATTGCATCTTTCAACCATCTTCGGTTTCAAATGGTAGTTAACGGAATTCAGTCGGAGGAGTCGAGTCTTGTCTTACAACAGCACAGAACGGGACATCGACCATCTTTGAACTTAATCTACATTATCAGGAGAAAATTGCATCTTTCTCAACAAACGTTTGACTATTATGAAAAATTACATAAATTAAAAAATATTTAAAAGAAATAAAACTGGAGATTAAATAGTCTTTAGATCCTGCATACACAAACCATGGAAGTTTGGGAGAATTTGTGAAAAGCCCAACGTAAATCTGCCTAAGACAAGATAAACACATTACTTGCAATAAACTGCAAATTATCCGTGGTCTACGAAGCACACTTGCTCATTTGCATTGAGTCGTATAGTTGCTCATAATAAATCATGACGGATTTGTGACTGATGAAGGATTACATGCCAGAGCATAGTAATTGAAACTTTTAAAGCCTGCAAACTATGACGAATTTCAATAGTCGTTTACTTACAGAATATCTCTTCAACCGTGTAAAACCACTCGATGGTGTCTGTGGCTCGGTTGTAATGCCCGATGTCGTAGTCACTTCCATCTGAAGATGGGGGAAAAACAAACCGGAATCAGCTGAACCTGTAACACCAGTTTATACCTGCAAATGACGAATTGCTTTCTCTCTTAAAACCATCGTTTTTGCATACAGGACGCCCCAGCTCCCCCCCCCATGGTGGCAGCAGTGTGCCAGTACTGTTACGGGTTTTTCTGTTATGTTTTGTTAAGGTGAATGGGCTCAATCGAATCACCTTTTTAAAATCATTCGATTCCATCTTATTTCTTTTTTCCCCAGACAATAATGCTTCCAGCCAGTTTTTTCAACATGGTACCACGCATGAACTTAAAAGTTGGTATGAATATCAACCCAATATTGAGATATTGTGATTTTGTTTCCGTTCGTTTGAGTCTGTGGAAAAATCACCTCAGAAAAAGACGTTCGTAAAATATTTGCTATCAGATTAATTTACTGAAACATAACCCGACCTGAAACAGAAATATCCTGCCCACAATTGATCGCTCACTTCCGAAAACCTAAAATATATGAAGGCCAGTGCAATTCGGTGGTATTGTATGCAGATAAACAGTTATGCTTTATTACATGTTTTGGGTAAAAACTAAAATAAACACGTGTCAAAATATTTCATTACAATTTATAAAAAAATAAACTTAATATGAATTAGCGTTACGAAAGATTTTAAAGTTTAATCTAAACTTTAGTGGCAAGAACTGTGTTAGGTCAACTCGACTTAATTTAGAACCCATTAACTGCAGGTAGGTAAATCTTTGCAAAGTTGTACAATCTTGTTTTCGAGCGAGCACATGAAGTGAAAACAAATGAACATTAAACAAGGAAACCTAGGAACGATGTTGCCAGAGGTGAAAGGTATGTAATAAAATCAATGTCTTGCCCATCTCCAGGTGAAAGTCTTTTCCCAAATATAACCTGCGAAACACAAAGGTCAAATTCCGACATGAATATCTTTTAGTGAAGTTTCCGTTATAAATCATTCTTCCAAAAGTTATCGAGTGTGACAGGACGGCCCCGTGCGAAATTCCTAAAAGCAATCTCCGTAAGGGTTCTGAAAGCTCACTGCGAGACCCTTTACTTTCAGCACTATTACGTGAAAATTACCAAGTAGAATGAGCACGCACGTAACGCATATGTGAAGATTGAAGCCTTCGAACTTCACGTATGCGTGATGAACGGAATTTCGGGTTTTCTGGCATTTCTGCTCTTGTGAATATAGCGCCCTCTACTGGTACTGCTTTCGGCTGTGCTTGCCAGCACATGTTATCTGCACGGTATACCGTCCAATGCAGTGAAACCAGTCTTGGGGCAAGACTAATAGCTACGGTGATTTTATGGGGACATGGTAGGAAAAAATATATCTTGTCTGCGAACGCACTTTGTTGAGGGTAGAACGCACTTTGTTGAGGGAACAACCATTGTTGTTGAGGGAACAACCATTTTTGTTAGGGGAACAGCAGTAGTGCCTAGGGCCAGTATAGTCGCTATTACGTCATCATTTTAGCCTCTCGACCGATCAGAACACTGGACTTGGCTAAAATTAAGTCTCATTAACATAATTTGAAGAGCCAGCCTGTAAAATGTCTAAGAGGGGTCTTCAATAAGTGAGGCGTCAACTTTTGATAATTGAAATATTCTTCTGATTTTGTCCATTTCATCTGTAAAAGCGTATGACTTCAATACTAGGACGGAATGGAGTGTGCTTTGCCAATAAAAAGGAAAGATTTCCGTTGCAGGATTTACGTTCAAGTAGGTACATGTGCTTGCGTTTGTAAAGGCATATCAATCAATTTGGGGCGAATGTTTCCTTTGAAGTAAATGTAGAATGAATAAAAACTAAAAATGAGCTATACAAGTATGCTATACGTACACAAATAGAGAAATGTATACTTGCACACGGTCATGCCCAGAAGGGGAAATCAACAACGTGGGAACCTACCTACCCACGGTATGAAAAAGGTACAGCCCAATACGTCCGAAGTGGTAGTGCGGGCCATTACGAAGCCTTTGATGTGTAATACTGGACTAGCTAGTCCGTGACGTCATGGCACTGAGTCATCGACGAACGTAAACAAGTAAGCAACAGGTCCGATTTTGTGCAGCACAAAGGGCCGACACATTCGCGGTGATTTTAAACTCGCCAAGTTCGCAGGCAACGCTGTGATCTTGATGACAGGGAATCGTTTGGTATGTATCGCTCGTGAGAACAGCTTTTGCCTAGATCAGGTAGAGACAGGAATCTTGAGAACTGGATGTGAGGCAGTGAGACGGGTGAGTGCACGGTTTCAACTTCGTTTTACAGTTCATCATGGTTAAGTACATGTATTCATATACATGTAATCATGTAAAAACTACCGAATTGGATGTCAATCATGTAGGCCTATTACTACGCACTGTGTTGTGGAACGAATGCAAAATCACAAATCATCTGAGTTTAGAAAAGTTTGAACAGCTCAAAATGTACCGGTGCGTGTGATTGTATGGGGATCGTAACACGCTGACAGTAGTCAGCGACGGTGAGAAAAATAAATGTGGAATAAACTACCACATACAGTACATGACACAGCCATGTACACGTAGGCCGCCATGACGTCAGTTGGTAACTTTTAACACGTCACAAAGGGGTAAATTTATTCGTCGTGCTGTGGAATATTGTGCAGAAGTTCCCGGCCAGTATCTGACCTGAGGACCTGAGAATTACTATTAGATATTCATGACTGTAAGTAAGAACACAAAACAAATTCATTGGACTTCACATATTGGTTTCTGGTAGACTCGTACTGGTATGTTTTATTGCCCGTTGTTCATCATTGATTTTTATAATAATTCTTCTCCATTAATACAAACGTGATTACCAGAAGTTTGTAAATCATAGGCACTACATGCACTCATTCTTTTTGGAACAATTGTCTCTATTATCTTTTAGGCATGCTCCTCTTCGTCATGAAACAGTCCGGCAAATTTTTCAGCATGTTTAGGCAAAACTCTATTCAAGGCTTTGTTGATGTTCATGCCTTTATCAAGTTTTCCATCGAGATCATCCACAATGTCCTTGTGAGTTTCATTCTCCCTCAAGTACTGGTAACTTGACAGGAACTCCTTATAATTGTCGAAAACGTCTTGTTTGACTGCCCAGAGAGTCTTTCTGTTTGCCTTCTGCCTGGCTTGATCTTCATCCATGCCTTCGTTGACGTACTTGATATACTTTTCAACCCTCATACCCCTATGTGTTTTTGTGGCTTCAGCCAGGCAATCTTGGTAGGCGGCATTGTCTTCTAAATCTGAACTGTCTTCATCTGAGGTTTTGTCAACTTCATTGATGTCCGATTCCTCCTCAACATGGACATTTTCCGTGTGCCTCTCCAGATTAAACTTCCGTCCGAAGCATTTGTCACACTGGTGACAAGCATAGGGCTTGGCGGCATAAATACCATTCATGTTGACCCAGGGAAGGATGATCTTTAAATGACACGAAACAAATGAAATCGTTCCATGTATCCGAAATATGCACGTATTTACTGCTTCTGATTTGCATATTTCCCATTTTTTCACATTTCATTGTTTATTTTTTCATCGTTTATATTGTTCAAATTGGTCTTTGTATTGCTCAAACTGTAATAAAACGAGTAAAAGAGCAATACAAAGGTATTGCTCTTCAACTCGTTTTATTACTTTTTCACTTTTTTATTGTATGAATTGCTCTTTTCATTGTTCAAATTGCTTCTTTAGCGTTCAAATTGATTTTTTAATGGTGTAAATTGATCTGTTCATTGTTAAAAAATGCTCTTTTCATTGCTCAAAACTGCTCTTTTATTTTTATTGTTCAAACTGAACTTTGTATTTTTCAATTGTTCTCTTTATTGTATAAATTGGTCTTTTCATTGCATAAATTGCTGATTTATTGTTCAAATTGCTCCGGTTATTGCTCAAATTGTTCTTATTGTTGCTCTTTACATTGTATAAATCGCTATTTGTATTGCTCAAATTGGCCTTTTTATTGCTTGGGGAAGTAAGCGCCAAACCTACATAGTCCAATGAGATTTTGAAACGTAATCCGTCTTCTAAGAAAACTTTGGTGAGCTTTGTCAAAAAGCCCATCAAGTTTCGAAATCTCATTGGACTGTGTAGGTTTGGCGTTTACTTCCCCCAGCCAATTTGAACAAGTCCAACAAATTCAAGCCCCATTGAAAATCGTGTAAAATCAGGGCCCAATATCATATATACCAACATCTCTGAAGTTTCTGAAACACATATTAAATTTTTTCTGGTCCCTAATCTTTCAATTTCTATCCTTATTTTGTATTTATTAGTATTTCCACTGAACAAATCACCCCTCGAAAAGTGACTTTTCCGAAGTCTGCTTGCAACCGTTTATTTAATAGCAACCCTCAACTTTTTAGGGCACTTCAGGGCTATTTTTCAACCGTATATTTTAGTCATTAGGCCTACACTCTCAGATGACAGCCCAAAGACCCAGGGAGTTGATACTGGCAAGGATTTACACAATCCCACCACTTTCAACAAACGGTCGTCGCTAACCAATTTTTATCCTTTTCTCATCAAAGTTTTGTTATCTCAATAAAATTTTGACTTTCCCGACAAAATCTGTTCAAGTTGTTTCCTCAACAAAAATGGTTATTTCCTCAACAAAATTTGTTCTTCGCTCAACAATTTTGTTTTTGTTTTACCCAGTCATAGATGGTGAATCGATCACGTGATATGCTACAAGCGCGCATGTTTTACACATACGGCGATGTTGCCTAGCCGCAAAAAATCCCAGAGTTCATGTGTGGTGTCTACTGCGTTGCAATTGTTTAATCTTGAGTACGAGGCTGGAGAGCCACGGTGGTACTAATTGTTGTAGGAGATGTGTGCTTGTGTCCGTTCACATGTGTTGCTCTCTTCACTCTGACCATGACAGAGACCCGTGGGGAACTTCTGTTCGTACCCTCAGCTCTGTTCGTGGGACGAGTATGCTCTGATCACTGTTTCTGCTGCGATCGCCATTGCTC